TAATACAAGACAATGAAAGGATGTAATGAAGAAGATAGGTCCTTCATATTTTCCTTTAAGCAGGTGTTTCCCCTGCAGGTGTTGTTCTTTATTCATCAACTGCAATCGGTACCATTTCCAATTGCGAGAACTTTGGCATTGTTCGTATTAAATCTTCGTGTGTCTATGGGGCTGTGTTTTCTAATATACTCGAAACTAATACGAACCCCGTTATCAACTCGGTGTTGCATGTACAGAGTGGGTCAAATTCGACATTTTCTATAGGAGATAGACGAAAACTAATATCGGTGTCTGGAGCTCAATTTTCAACAAAAACATGATGGTGGAAACCGCACATCAATATCTGTTACCGTTTCGGAGTTACGGGGTGTTTTTCAAAAATGTGCATTTTTAACAAATCGCTGTAACTTTTTTGCTATGGAAAATTTTGTATTTCTATGAAAACATTTCCAAAGCACCTTTTTACGTAGAATTTAATGGTTTAAGTATAATTTTTTTAAAATTAATAATTTAAGAGTTATCAACAGATAAATTGATTTTTTATTTGGGACACCCTCTATATTTTTTATTAACTGAAAAGAATTTAAAATTACCTTTCCAAAAATATAGCACAATTGATATTTTGTTATAATCCCCTTCGAAATACAGAATTTTTAAAAGTTCGCCACTTTTAACTAGTAGGCTTTGGACCCCTTATTGATGATATACCCTTAATGGAACTCGAAAACATATTTTTTCCAGCAAGACGACGCACCGCCTCTGAACGCTGAAGTTATCAGCAAATTTTTGCAGCCAATTTCAAATATAATTGAATAGCTAACTAAGAATCCAGCCATTGGCCGTCGAGGCTGCCTGACTTAGTGCCCATGGATCTAATCCTATGGATATATTTGCGGAAGAATAAAGGTTCCTTATTCTTCCGTATAATCTAGACAAGAATTAGAAATAATTAGCAGTTATGAGAGGGTATCTTTCACTCCTACTGAGTTAATGAATTCCGCGAGAAATGTTCAAAAACTACCCCGTCTGACCATAACAGAAGACGGTTCGATATGTCGAACACCTGTAGCAAAATCTCATGTCCTGGTTTGCTATTTTTTTTTGTTATTAGATATAGTTTAAATGTGTTGATGTAGGTTAAATATATTTTAAATTATTATAAAATTCTGCATCTCTCATAGCAAATATTATTTTCGTTTTAATTGATGCTCACAGCTAGATTTTTTTTGCATTACAGCCGCTGCTGTTCAAAGCCTACTTGTTTAAAGCGGGCGAATTTTTATATACTATATATCGAAGAGGAATCGAGCAAAATATCAACTGTGTTATATTTTTGGAAAGGTGATTTTAAATTCTTTTCAATAAATTAAAAATATACAGGGTGTCCCATATAAAAAATCAAATTTTCTGTTGATAATTCTTAAATTATTAATTTTAAAAAAAATATACTTAAACCATTAAATTCTACGTAAAAAGGTGCTTTGGAAATGTTTTCATAAAAATACAAAATTTTCCATAGCAAAAATGTTACAGCGATTTGTTAAAAATGCATATTTTTGAAAAACACCCCGTAACTCCGAAACGGTAACAGATATCGATATGCGGTTTTCACCATCATGTTTTTGACAAAAATTGCGCTCCAGACACCCATATTAGTTTTTGTCTATCTCCTATAGAAAAGGGTGTTTCCATTTAAAAGCGTCGAATTTGACCCACCCTGTACAGAAGGATCGGACGTGGCTCGGTGTCTACTTCACGGAACGTGCCCGGCTCGGGCGCGTTCCGGTGTACTGTGAATCATCCTTTTTAAGCTTGACCGGCACGGCGTTGCCCACTTTTATATATTTTCTTTTAATCAAAATATTTTAGGAAACAAAAATAAATTAATTATAAATATATAAACAGTTATTACTTACCTCAACAAAACTCACCTTCCTTACAGCACTTAAGGGACATAAAGGGTCATTACCACCGCTTTCCCATTACGGCTATTAAATCGCACTAAAAGAGGTTCTAAAAAGAACAATGGTCGACTGCAAGGTCTTCTGGTAAAAACTCATAATAAAAAACTGAAGTGTCAGAACGAATGTCAGCGGGAAATTTAGATTCCACTAGTCAGCACGGCGTCGAATATGACCATGGTTGGAAACAACTAATTTAAAAATCGCGCCCTCGATGACGCAACTAAAAGTTTATTTGATATGAACCGTATTTGTCTCTATTCTATATCTATTATATACATAGTTATCTATTCTATACTAGTTTCCAAATGTTTTATCACATTTATATGTTACACAAAAACCCGAACAACGTGAAAGTTCGGAAGTTGGAATAAATTACATTTCCTTGAATTTATATAGAATCTAAATATAACACATACATATACAGGGTCACTGATACGTATGGGAACGGTCGATTATTAGGTAAAATGTACGAGGTACGCGAAAAGTTTATCATGAAAGTTATAGGGTTTTTAAATAAATAAATAAATAAATGCCTTTATTGTCAAAAAATTTTACAATTTGTAGACATAGGTAAAGTAAACAAACAAACAAAAGAGAATACAAAACATTATACAAATTACATTGTCAGTCTTATTGTTTAAAATAAACATTTATAAATGTTTACAATGTCAAAGAATAAAAAAATAAAAATAAGACTCAAAAATATTTAGTAAGTTTATAGTAAATATCAATGAACTCTAAATAAATTAATTTCGATGTCATTGGTAAATATAGTAATAGCAAACATTAGACCAGTGTTTACAAGATCAACTTCGATTATCAAAATATAAGTCATTTACGGCGTAGAAAGACTGTCTAGTAAATAAGATTTCAATGCTTTGCGAAATGAAGAAAATGATGTTATGGATTTGATTTCAAATGGCAGGTGCTTGTGCATTTTTTTCGAGTTGTATAATATTGAACTTTTAACTAACTCTGAGCCTGGGGCAAAAACGGTAAACTAATAGGATTGCTCATCCTCATAAGACGTACGTCCGCCACTTCCCGCGCTTCAGCTGACAGTTGTGACGTCATTGTAGTCCTAGTCAAAGCCTTGTCCTTGCCTTGTCATGATAGTGTGTATTATTAGTTGCCTATGGTAAACTTATGAGTAACAGCTGATAAATTTTGAGTTAATTATTTTGTCAATTTTAAATGTGAAAAAGGTGTCTTTAAAGTTTTTAGAGCTATAGAGTGTCTAAATACGTTCATTTTGTGTTGTGGATTGTGACAAAGTGCTTACTAAGTGCCCACGATATTGTTTATTAATTATTTTAAAGCAAAATATGGAAGTATTCTAAAAAGAATGCTTGCAAAATGTGATGCTGGGAACTGCTGTTTTTAAAAATGCATTATCCGAGTATTTAATACGATTTATACAGTTAATTTTCCATACTGCATACATATAAGGTGTTTAAATAAATAAACTAAATAATGAACGTTTTGCAATTGGCAACCAATAATGGATGTGTGTGTATTATTGGTTGCCGGATAAGGACTAAATAACCATGACAAAGACTACAATGACGTCACAAAGCGAGTAGTTTTCGCATGTACCTGGCGGACACTTTTGGCTGAATGAGCAGTCCTATTAGGTTAACTGTTCTTGAGCTGGGGTAGGTAGATAAAGATCTTGCTCCGCGTTTTTGAGTGGATAAGTGTGAGATGGCCTTTCTTGAGAAGCTGATACATGCTTACGTATTAGGCAAACGGATTCAAATATAAATAAGGAAGGAAGAGTTAATATTTTTCATTTTTTAAAAAAGTCATCGCAATGAGTTCTTCTGTTTAGACCCAGTGAATATCGAACAGCTCTCTTTTGGAGCTTGAAAATGCGGTCAAATTGGCACAACACGAAATGTCTATTAGCGAGTAATAAATTTTAGTATACAGGGTCGGTCATAGAGCCATGACACATCAAAATTTACATTTTTTAAAAGCAACTTCCTGTATATTATTACATATTTCAATTATTTCTTCAATCCTAAGGTAAAGTCGAGATACACATAACGTATCTTAAACCGACTCTGTTTCCGAGTTATTGACTTTTAAAAAAACAATTCGATTTAATTAATTTAGATGTGTTTGGTCTCATTTAACGATGCTATTCTGCGGAATCTGTGATACTTAATAATGTTTGATATTAGTTTTCAAGTTAGTATTTTATACATGTACAAAATGAGATTATATCAAGTCTAGAAATTACACAAAACTTTCGTTTAACATTTCAAAATCAAAACTTCATAATTCGGATATGGTTGAATTTAGGTACATTATGTGTATTACGATTATTGCTTATAATTGAAGGAAGAATTGAAATATGCATTAATATACAAGGGTTGCATTTTAAAAAATTAAATTTTGATGTACCAAGATTTTATGACCGATCCTGTATACTTAAATATACTACTAGATAATAGACATCTAAAAACTCTATAACTTTTGTGGTACCTTGTATATTTTACCCAATAATAATGGACCGTTCCCATACATTAGCAGCGATCCTGTATATCATTTATTTACTACACGATATCAGGTTTTTTTAACATACACTTATTTTGAAAAATTCAATGTATATTGTCATTTTCATCTTGTACAGGGTGGACCAGTATTCCTGAAAAAAACTCAATTTTAGATTTTTTCACACCACTCTTTGTAAAATATGCGGACATCACTAAGTTAATTTTTTTCTTATTTTTACTGGGTGTTTCAAAAATGTTCAATAATGATATATTTTTACGCTTAGTAGATTGGTCAAAAAATGCACATCCTCTAAATATTATGTTATAATCTTTACTTTGATCTACTACTGGTTTTTGTAATATGACCATGTTAAGGTTAGTATTCATACGGTGTCACAAAATAATTCTCTAAAAGGTGAGTTGGATTTACCTAAAACTACATTAAAGAATATCACAATCAACCGACATTAGATATAATTAATTTAGATAAATTCAAATAAAACAGTATAGTAAACAAAATGTCTTTTTATTTCAGATTTGGATTACGAATCTCAATTTGTTTTTCCCAATGGTTTTGTCGACACAAATGGAATCTATTACGTTAATAGTAAGTATCTTTAAATATTAATGCTCATTTGTCAGATATCATAAAGTTGTACTTATAATAAAACCAAGACATTAACATTAAATGAACATAAACAATTAACATTAAATGTTCTGGATAACATAAAGTAATCCTATCGATTACGCCTACAATTAATATCAAAACTGATGTTAAATTAGTTAGTATTTCATCAACTAATTATTTAAATAGTATATCATGATAGTTTCAATAAAAAAAATATATTTTCATAATTAAAAAAAAACGTTTTCTCAGCCTTGTCTCCGTTAATGCTTGTACGTTACCATAATCTTTGTAGATGTTTTAATATTTGTTTATTAGTCCAACATTACTCATAGTAAGGTAATAAATTATAGGGGGATTTTCATAGGCAATTAGGTGACTTTTCATTGAATAATTAAGGCTATTTTTTATGTTTTTTTGGCTGTTCGAGTCGTGCCGGCTATAACCTATAAATATAAAAATTATATCTAGTATATTTATAGGTAGATTTGACTAATTCCAACGAGGTCACAATTAATTGATAGTATTCATAACAGTACTAGAGAGAAGTAGTAGAATAGAAGTTAGACCTTACAGATCTATTGTATCCCCCTTTCTTCAGTTATAACTCATCATACAATCTCAAAGCTTTGACAAAAGCCAAAAGCCAGTATCTGAAACGGTTTTACAAAGGTTAGTTCTCCATCTCCAGTATCAGTCGTCGGCGCACTCAGTGATGAGGTGTTCTGGTGTTTCCCCATTTTTCCCACAGAATCTGCATTCGCCGTTGTTTCTTAGCTTCAATCTAGTGCGGTATTCGTTGAGAAGACATTGTCCTGTTAAATCTTCCAGGTTCTTGAGTTCCGCTTTAAGTTGGGTTCCACTTGGGAAACAGAACGGTTCTGGTTCAGTTACTGGAGTATTCGCTCCTTTTTTTTACCTAGATCTCTTGGTATTTCATTGCCTTCTTCCCTCTCGCCTTCTCGATGCACTCTTTAACCAACTTCGAATTGATGGTTACTGAGTTGATCGCTTTTAATGCTTCTTTACTATCGAGTAAGATGGCTATTTCTCGTTTCCGATAGTTCCCATCTAAGATAATTTGGTTTTGAGTTTTTGTCCAAATACTCCTGTCCCTGTTTCTACTTTGGTTTAGGAAGCATCAGTATACCACGTTATAGTCTTTTACCTGCTGAGCAAACAATTCTCTCTTCCAATTCTATTTATTGCTCAATACTACGGTGTTATGAATTTTCCTTCGTGTAAATACATCTTGTTTCATACATCAATATTGTGTATTCAAATTTGTTATAAAATTAGTTACAAAATTGTGTAATTTTAACATAAATGTCATACAGTTCGACAGGAATTTATGCTAGTTGTGCGAAGATTTACAAAAAATAAAAAATTAAATTTATAGTAAATGATGAAAAAAATATGACCGATATTGTGCGATTATGATATTTTTAGCTTCAAATAAAAGAAAACAACTACGAAGTCGTTTCTGAGTCGTTTAGAATTTGGTCGATTTGGCAAGCAATCAGGTTTTGTCGATGTTTAATTAAAGAGACCAGTTTGTTTTGATTGTATTATCATTGATTTTTGAATCCTTGGCATTTGAATCATCTCACTGTGCTAAAAGGATGCTGAGACATTACGTACATTCCGGTTCGGCACGTTAAACATACCGAATATATGGAATAAGTTGACTAAAAAAAGGAGGTCAAGCGGGAGCGAAGAAAATGTGCATACTGTCTTGAGATTTTTAGAGTCGTTCGCATTTTTTAATTAAAAATGTTTCTGTTTGCCATGTTAAAAAATCCTAATTAGAATGAAAGAAATTATGCCGTGTGATCGAAAAAAAAACAGCGTCAAAGACGACTGGTGTATGAAAATCAATGATAATTTTGGCAAAATCAATCTCTAGACATACAGATCAATCTTAATCGTTTACTAAAAACTGGCAGATTAAAAAAATATATAGGGTGGTGCGAATTGTATTCAGGAAACTTCGGCATATGTTGCAGATAAAAATAAGTAAAAAAGTTCGTATAAATGTATGTCCTAAAATGCTTGGTTTAGGAGATACAGGGTGTAGAAGTTTCATTTTTATTTCGATTTTATCATAATAATTTCTGAACTAATGCGGATATTTGACTGAAAATTGAGGTCTGGGTGTTTTTTGAAAATGGAAAATTTGGTTTTGATGATCACTCCTACTTATAATCACCTATAGGGGGATCACCTATATGTTTTTGAACTGTTTTGACGAGTAAACAAACACAAAATAGTTTTAGGATATGCCTCTTGATAAATCATGCAACATCTGTATAAAATTGTTTTTATATCTTCGACAACGACGAGGATATTGGACTTCCTCTCACTAATATGCCATCCGGTATATGTTACGCTTAATAGTCGAATTCGGGCAATGCCCGAAAAAAATACGCAAATCTAGTTTTGAGCAAGAAATATTTTTCAAACCCGAAAAACCAACTAACCAATGAATTAACACCCTCCAAATAACCACGCTAACCAACTCGCCAAATAACTAAACCAATCCAACCAAAAAGAGTGAAACCAATGCAATCAAATCACACTATAAGCAAAAAAAAATAAAATTAATTTTTCGGGTTTGGGAAATATTCCTTGCTCAAAACTAGATTTGCGTATTTTTCTCGGTCATTGCCCGAATTCGACTATTGACCCCGGTATATTACGTGCGTCTCAAAAGTGGCTCACCCCTATATCTTTTTTTATTTTTTCAGATAAAAAACGAGATTTGGTATGTTAGTATATGACATAAATTAGGACTAATTGACGTATTCAGTTGTTTTTGGTTACTTCCTGTTTCACCGGAAATGACTACAACTTTTGATTTTTAAATGGCACCCTCGGTATTTTCTTACTTTATTCGATAGAAAATGACATTCTGAATAGAGTGACATATCATATGTCAACTTTTGACATTCTCACTTAATAAAAAGTCGTATTTTAAAATTCAATCTAGAGTGCCATGGCTATGTAAAAAACACTAATTCCTAATCAAGGAGCCTTTGAAAAATAGATTTGATCATCTAATGTTTTTATTGTCTTGTCCTGACCAGTTAGAAAATGCACAAATCGTATTTTTAATCATATCTCATTTTTTTCAAATGGAACGAGCGTGGCTCATTAGCGTATTTCGAAAAAGCATTTTTTTACGAATAATTTGATACCCCACACTTGGTATTTCGAGATCTTGGTACATCTTAGGCAAAAGAATCAAATGGTTCCATCATGTCCCAAACGTATCGGTTCTTGAAAAAGCTAACTGCGAGAGTATGAAAGTCATAGTTACAAAATCCCTACTAAGATGGGCTGGTCACGTATGCAGAATGCAAGAAAATCGCATACCAAAATCTCTGCTTTACGGTGAGCTTGTAGACGGTAAGAGGAGGCTAGGTGGACAACTCAAAAGGTACAAGGACATTTTCCACGAAAACTTAAAGGGGATTAACGTGCAGAATGAGTGGGAAGTAGCAGCTCCCAATAGAACTCAATGGAGAAGAATAATTGTAAACTCAGTTAACAGCGAGAACCAAAAAGTTAAGAGGCAACAAGCAATGAGATTTTTGAATGTCCGAAGTGGGGTAGACAAATAACATCACGTATTGGGCTTCTCAGTCACAGAAAAGCTCATGAAAGAAAACGCCTTGCGTGACCATCTTCTGATGCGTGTAAAATACTTTTAGTAGAGAGTAATGGCAGTATGTATGTATGTATTTCGAGAGAAATGTTCATTACGAACCGCAAGTTATAACTTCAAATAAATCATATGCGAAATGTTAAAAGTTGACATATGATATGTCATTCTATTCAGATTGTTATTTTCTATTGAATAAAGTAAAAAAATACCTAGGGTGCCATTTAAAAATCAAAAGTTGTAGTCATTTCCGGTGAAACAGGAAGTGACCAAAAACAATTAAATACGTCAATCAATCCTAATTTACGTCATATACTAACATACCCAATCTCGTTTCTTTAACTTAAAAAATAAAAAAGTTATAGGGGTGAGCCACTTTTGAGACGCACCCGGTATACAATTAAAGAAAAACATCTAAATTAAAATTGTAATTTTCAAAGACATTTTAAAAAAACCCATTTATTTTATATAACTATATAAATTAAACCGATACATAAATCTCGCTAAAGATTGATTCTCTAATATTCGGACCACTAACTAAAATCTATCATCCCCAATTATAAAATGATTATTCTTATTTGCAAACTACCGATTTTAATCTAATTTTTCAACCTCAACCTTACTAAATAGAAAAACAATTAATTTAGTGTTTATACGACGCATCATTAACTAGAATCTTAATTTAATTCTACTAATGAGAATTAAAATGTCGACATAAATAAAACAATAGATATCAATTAAAATATGTTCCAAACAGATGTTCTATAGGATCAGTATAGCAGTAAGTTATGCATTATAAAAATTTAAATATAATTAAAATTCGATAATCAAATATTGTAGGTACCTATTTAAAAAATCAGAATAATTACTTAAATGTTTTAGTCTATTTGTAAATTGTTATTCTTTAATTTTAGTTTGGTTACTGCAATTACGCCTTACAAAAATCCTTTAATTATAATTATAGTCGAATATCAAGATTAAAGTGTCACCAATAAGATGCTTTTAATTATATTAAAGAGAGACAAATAACTACCGTTCTGTTGAATAACATTACATAGAGTCAAACATAAAATTAACAATTACTACTATCTGATAATTAAAACCAAAATAAGGCAAAACCAAAAAGCTTAAACTGACTGCATATAATTTTTTGTGTGTTAGTTTAATTTTTACTATCATCGTCATCATAATGTTCAGATTATTCAATTATTCAACCATTTCTAATTATGGTGTAGCCTCCCTCATATATTTAGGTACTCTCTTTGTAGTTCGACCTATTGTAGTCTATTGTTGACTCTGCAGGCCCATGTTATCCCTACTAATTTCCTAACATAATGCTCCCATCTCAGGTTTAGTCTTCTTCTAAATCTCTTAATCGCTCGTGGATACAGTACTGTAATTTTTGTGGTCCATCTGTTGTCCATCCTTCCTGCCAGTTGTCCTGCCACTTGAGGGATTTGATTCTGTGGATGACATCTATAACCTGGGTCTTTTGTCGTATCCACTCTATTACTTTATGGTTTTTCTTGGTTATTCTCGGCATATTTCGTTCCATTGAACGTTGTGCGACCTGCAGTTTTCTTATAATATGCATTTTTACGTGTGCAGGTTTCGCATGCATAGGTCATGACTGGTAGTACACATTTGTCGAATGTTTTCTTTAGATAATGTAAATAGATTGATGGTCTATCTCTAGGTCCTTTAATATAGTCTAACAATTATTAAATAAAAAAACAATTCCACATTGTCTACCACCTTCAGACAACCTTAAATAATCGGTAATTATTAGAAATTTAATATTCGAATTAGCGGTTGCCAAGAATTTTGTTTTATTACTACTGTTAGTGTTACAACCTAACCTAAATCTTCTTGGCTGTTATAATTTTGTAACGTTGTGGTAAATCATGTTTATTGCTATATAGAAAATGCATTACTTACTAAATATAAACATAAATTATATAAATAATTATTTTAAATACTGAATTACTAGCATATTATTTTTATTTTAGGTTACGAACCATATCCACTAATGTTGTTCAATCCCCCAACTTATTATCAGGAGTTTTCAAACAAAACGAAACGATGCAGCACAGGTTCATTGGTAAGTAGTAGATCCACAAAAGGTTTATTCCTGTTTTTTACTAGTTTATAATGGAAATATTGAATATTATAAAATACTCTGATTTCATACATGTTGCCTGCTTGCATGTGCGTATTTTTTTGTAAAATTCTATAATTTTGCAAAATATTTATTAACGAAAAATTAGTAGGATATTAGGCATTACCAACAAAAGGGCAATGCTGTATGAAAAAAATGACTATCACATACTGCATAATTATGAATATTTATTCATCATCATTCTAATTTTACTTTCTTTAGCGTATTTTATACTAAAGAAAGTACGTATATATATATATATATATATATATATATATATATATATATATATATATATATATATATATATATTATATATATATATATATATATATATATATATATTTATACACATTATATACTTATATTATTTCTTAAACAACAAAATAAATGTATATTATTTTATATGAGCTGTAGGGATAATTAATTTTCAAAAATTCTGTAGCAATTAATAATGTGGAATGATATATTATTACATGATGTTCTTAGTTTGGTGAAATAACAGATTTTGCACGCAATAAAAGTTCCATTAAGAGAAAATCTGTAAAGGGAACTTTTATACCTATCTAGGTATATCCTATTCAGCAGATATTTTTTCCATTATATATTTTTAATTTTGTACATACCTAGTATAGAAAAATATGATAAAAGATAAAAGAATAAGAAAAAACAAATTTACAATAAAATAATACATAAAAATTATAATAATAATTACCAAATATTTATTGGCGTCCATTAATCCCAAAGAGACCTAGTTTATAAATACAAAAGACAAGGCAATAAGACTCTAAGACATTAATGTTGAGACCGAGATTTAGAGTCTTATTGTTTTGTCTTTTGTAATTACCAAATAGCCAACGTATTACCAACGGTATTACCGTTTTCTAATAAAATATAAAATTTTAAGAAAAATTAATTTTACCATTGTTATAATGAAACTATAATTCATATATAATAAAATATACTATACAGGGTGTCCCAGAAATAAGTGCAAATATTTTAACTGGTAGTATATTTCGGCCTCAGAAACACGCATATGAGGTTTTTTTGTGAAAAAAAAATTGAAAATTTGGAATTTTTTGTAAAAAAATTTTTGAATTTTTTTTAGTTTTAAGTTAAAAAACATAATTTCTTGATAATATGGCAACATGGGTAGTAGATTAAATTTACACGAAAGAAAATCCAGAAGAGATCCAGTGGTTCTCAAAAATTAAGCAAAAAAGGCATTTTTTATTTAAATTTTCAAAGTAAAATTGCTTGGTTATTTTGGACTTATTTGAAAAATGGTGCTTTTGACCAGATCTACCACCCCTTAAAATACTTGCACTTATTCCTGGGACACCCTGTATATAATAAATATAATAACTATAATCCAACAACCAAAATAGAAGATAACTTAAGTCATTAAAAAATATCATAAATCTTTTAAAGGATTTAAGTCTTTTTAGAAAAGATTTAAGTCAGACTTTTCATATTTATTTATGAAAAAATTTTAACAGCGGCATGTTGTGTTTTTATGTTCTTGATGCTTATATTTTTTCTAATGTTTATTGTGTGTAGTTATGCTGAAAATAAAAAAAAAAATAAGTGGTTTTGGTTTGGTATTAAAAAAACCTTAAATAATATTAATATTAAAAATAATTACTTAAATTGAATTCTGGTTGTCTTGACTTGAAAGTAATTCTATTGATTTAAGTAATTTTACTGACTTAACTTGCAGATTATCATGATTTAAGTAAAAAACATAGACTTCAGTCATAAAAACGATTTAAATAACGTTATATTGATTTAACTCTTTACAAAAATGACTTGACTTATACTAAAATGGTTTAAGTCAAAGACTTAAGACTTAAATCATTTGAACTATATGTGGAAATAGACATAAGATTTGAATCTTTTTGATTTTAGAAATGACTTAAGATTTAAGTCTTTTTAAAAATGACTTGTTTCAGCTCTGAGTCTATTCTATATTCATGATATCTAAATCAAAAAAATATATTTAGATGTCATTGTTCAAAACCCAATAATTCAAAAAAGCACATGAAAAGATGACACTTTTTGTTGTTCTACAAATCAAAAAGTCCATAGTTGTGTAGATTCATATTTTTAGATTATTTTTTCTCAATTTAAGTTCAATAACCTCGTTAATTTTCATCATAGGAAAAAAACTGACATTGTTCCAAAAAACATATATTTAGATAACTTTTTAATTATAATAGTTCGTTAGTACAGGAACATAATGCTGAGTTGTGTAGGTGATATTAAAGCTCGAAGTTTAACTGGTTTAATATCAACAATTTTCTGTGTTTGATGAGAGAGAAGTTAAAAGTCGTAAGGGCCCATTAGTTTAATAAACCTATGTAAGTATATGGCAAAAAGTAAATTACATTCAGAGTTAGTAGTAATTCAAAAATCACAGGTATTTGTATATGTGTTGCTCCCTGCCTTGTCGATGGTCAGTACTTAGTACACACCTCGTTGAGCAACACTTATCTTGATGCTCAATGATACCTGAAAATGGAAACATTACATACCAAATTACTAGATGTTTATTTTTATTTAGTCATAATATATTGATAATTATTATAAATATAATTGCGTTTTGTCCATTGTTATGTATACTCAATCCTCTTATACGGCTGTGAGACATGGACGATTAAAATGAACACCATGAGACGGTTGGAAGCTTTTGAAATGTGGATCTACAGAAGACTCTTGAAAAGACCCTGGACAGATCATGTACGCAATGAAGAGGTTCTTGAGAGGCTTAACAGGGAAAGGGAATTAATTGCAAATATAAAAAAAACGAAAGACAGCATACCTGGGCCATGTCATGCGCAGTAGCAGAGCAAAGCTTCTGAAATTGATTATAGAAGGAAAGGTAGAAGGCAGAAGAGGACTTGGGAGACGCAAGCACTCTTGGTTGAAAAACTTACGAGACTGGACTGGACTGAACTCACACGAACTGTTTCGAGCTGCACAGGAGAGACAGTGTTTCGCCGCGATTGTTGCCAACCTTCATTAGAAGATGGTACTATAAGAAGAAGAATAAATATAATTAATAGCACAATAGTAATGTAATAAAATATTCTTCTATTTCTATCTTCTTATTCTATATTATCAACATGTACAAGAACAATTTACATATTAAAATTAAAAATATTTTTGCAGTTAACTGACTCAAATTTTATTGTCATTTAAAAAAAATATTATTTTTTGCGGATCATGTTCTGCTAGGATATGGAAAGTTATATTAGAAGAACTAACATATTTTGATTATTTATATAAATATAATTTTGTTGTTCATTATTCATGTTTGGCAGTTAATCACCGCGACCTTACAGATCTATTGTGTTCCCCTTTCTTGAGTTATAATGAGCTATAATAACTCATCATACAGTCTCAGGACTTTAACAGAAGTCAGTATCTGAGACGGCTCTACAGAGGCCAGCTCTCCATCCTCGACATCAGCCGTACCAAAGTTCATGGCCCGAACGGTCGTCGTCTCGGCGCACTCAGTGAAAAGGTGTTCTGATGTTTCCCTATTTTCGCCACAGAATCTGCATTCGCCGTTGTTTCTCAGCTTCAGCCTACTGAGGTGTTCGTTGAGGACACAGTGTCCTGTTAGAAACCCCGTGATAATCTGAAGATTGTTTTTACTTAAATCAAGGAAAATCTTTGATTTTTCTCGGTCGTAAGTTCTAAAGAACTTTTTCGAGTGTCTTAGACCGTTGGAGGACACCCATTCCAGGTTACGGATGGAGTCTTCTAGGTTCTTCAGTTCCGCTTTCAGTTGGTTTCCGCTTGGAAAACAGAACGGTTCTGGTCCAGTTAGTGGAGTGTTGTTATGTTGTAGATGTTGTAGATAATATTATTATATTTTACTGCAGAATCGCATAGAATTTTTGCATTTTATATCATAAACTCACCGGCAAAAAAAAACGGCTAAAACTAGTCCCAATTTCAAGGTTGGATTTCTCGCGAACCACTCATTAGATTTTGATGATTTTTTTAATTTTAAATTAATCCTTTCTTAACGGATTCTACTTCAGAAATTTTTATTCCGAATTTATTTTGAGCATATACAGGGCACAACAATAAAACGAAGTTTTTTACCCGAACTTTGTAACACCCTGTGGGGTGCAGCAGCTGTAGTAGCTATTGCTAAATCAAATCACATTATAGCCTTATCATTTGTGAGCATTTTATTTTTTTAATCGCGACATTATCTCTGTTTGTATTGGAGATACGCTACTTTAAAACGAACGTCTCAGAAAAATGCTTCGCAGGCAGAAAGTTTTATGTGTAAATAATCAAAAGGCGACATAGGCGAAAACGGATTTATGATGTATTTGCAATATGACAACAACGGTTGTCAAATTATAAAATGCCATTATCTGTGAAGGATGTTGCTCGTATTGTGGCTTTAATTGAGAATGACCGAAGTCAACGTTATGTGTCCGATACCCTGGGTATATCCCGAATAACAGTCTAGGATGCCTGGAATCGGTATATGGAAACGGGAAATTTCACCAGGTCAGTGGGTTCCGGAAGAAAACGGAAGACAAGTGCAATTGTCCGCTTTATTATCCTGAATAGTTTACAAAATTGTAGAATTACAGCGTTTCAGAATCAACATCTGCTACAAACCGTGCGTAGAACTCAAGTGAATGAGAGAACAATCGGACGAAGACTAAAAGAAAACAGCTTGACTCCAAGGAGGTCTGCCACAGGAGCCCAGCTACTTCCAAGACATCGTCTAGCACATCTTCAGTTTGCGCGTTTACATGTGAATTAGGATATTGAGCAATGGACTAAAGTCCTTTTCACGGATGAATCGCGGTTTTGCCTTTCCGAGACGTTCGTTTTAAAGCAGCGTATCTCCAATACAAACAGAGATAATGTCTTGATTAAAAAAACAAAATGCTCACAAAAGATGAGGC